CTGGGAGGGAAATGAGGTGAGGGGTCTTCCAGGACAGGGCGGAGGGCTTGTGTGCTACGGCAAGTGGTGAGGCGTGGCCAGGGTGGGCTGCAGAGGTGGGTGGGGCTGGCTTCTTATATTGGGTGCTGTATCAGTCAGGATTCTTCAGAGAAACAGAACCAACAGGAGACACAGACAGGTAGGTAGGTAGGTATAGATATACAGATTCGCGGGCTGGGCATGGTGGTTCATGCCTGTAAGTCAAGCACTTTGGGAGCCTGAGGCAGGACGATCGCTTGAGGCCAGGAGTTCAAGATCAGCCTGGGCAACAGAGTGAGACAAAAAATAAGAAATTACCAAGTGTGCTGGAGCACGCCTGCAGTCCCAGCTACTCGGGAGTCTGAGGCGGTAGGATCGCTTGAGTCTGGGAGTTCGAGGCTGCAGTGAGCTCTGCTGGCCACACTGCACTCCAGTCTGGGTGACAGAGTGAGACCCTGTGAAATAAAAAATGAGATTTACAGATGCCCCTCAATTTATAATGAGGCTACATTCCAACGAATCCATCCTAAGTTGAAAACAACTTTAATACCTTGATAAACCTGTCATAAAGTTAAAAAACCTTCAGTTGAACCCGTATAACTTGGGGACCATCTGTATTATGGGAATTGGCTCATGCAATTATGGGGGCTAGGGAGTCCCAGAGTCTGCCTTCTGCAAGCTGGGAAGCCCAGGAAAGCCGGTGGTGTCGTTCTAGTCCCAGCGGAAGGCCTGAGAGCCAGGGCCACTGATATGCAAGGGCAGAAGTTGGATGTCCCGAATCAAGCAGAAGGCAAATTTGCCCTTCTTCCTCCTTGTTTTATTCCGGCCCTCAATAGATTGGACGGCGGCCAACCACAGTGGTAAGGGCGAGCTTCTTCACTCACTCTACTGATTCAAATGCCACACTCTGTGGCTCTTTTTTTTTATCTTTGAGATAGGGTCTCACTCTGCTTTCCACCCAGGCTGGAGTGCAGCAGCCAGTCTCGGCTCACTGCAGACCTCTGCATCCTGGGTTCAAGCTATTCTTGTGCCTCAGTCTCCCAAGTAACTGGGACTACAGGCACCCACCACCACACCCAGCTAATTTCTGTATTTTCAATAGAGTCAGTGTTTCACCATGTTGGCCAGGCTGGTCTCGAACTCTTGACCTCAAGTGATCACCTGCCTCAGCCTCCCAAAGTGCTGGGATTACAGGTGTGAGCCATTATACTCTGCCTCAAATTCTACTGTCTTGCAGAAACACCCTCCCAGTCACACCTGGAAATCATGTCATGCCCACTATCTGGGCACTCCTTAGCCCAGTGAGGCCAACAGATAAACTGAACCATCACGGCTGTCCTGAGGATTAGCCGGGGACCTTAAAAAATTCCAGGGCTCAGCTGGACCCCATAGGTGCTGGCTCTGTGTACCTGAGGGGGCCTGGGCCACAGGTAGTTTTTGAAGCCCCTCTGTCTTTCTGGCTGGGCTGTCGGTAAGACCCCCTGGCTGAAATTGCACACACCAGGCTACGTGCCAAGTGCTTGGTTTACCTGCCCTCACTTCATCTACACAAGCAAGAACCCCGTCAGGAAGGTTCCCATTTTACAGATGAGGAAACTGACCCTCATATGGTTTCACCATGTACTCAAGGTCATAGGGATGGGGAGTGTTGGTGCAGAGATTTGAATCTCGGAAGAAGTTCCAAAGCCTGGATTGTTACCTACTCCACCCTGCATGAGGTCTTGCTGGTCACTGAGATACCAGCAGCAGCTTAGTCTCAGCTCAGATACCTGTGGAGGGTTGGGGGACACAGAATTTCTGATGGTGGCAGAGGAAAGTCCTCAAATGCTCCTGCCCTTGTCAATCTGGCCCTAGAAAAATTCTCCAGAAGATCTTTGGCTGGCCCTGGTAAGGTCACAAAGGCATCAGAGAGAGCATACATAGGGAGAGGTTGAAGGTTAGGGCCATGGGCATGGAGAAATGAATGGAATTCAGGCTTTAGGAAATCTGGGACTGTATCCCAGAATGACCCCATCCATCTATCACTCTATCACTCCATCTATCCATCCATCCATCCATCCATCCATCATGCATGCACAGAGAGCCCACTGGCCTGAGTCTGCACCCAGCCCCCAGAGGACAGGTAAAAATTAGACACAGTCATTGCCTGTGGGTGAGTCTACCGGAGAAGGAGAACTGAAAAACTAATTGCAAGGCTCTGCGCTGTGGCTCACACCTGTCATCTTGGTGCTTTGGGAGGCTGAGGTGGGAGGACTGCTTGAGTCTAGGATTTTGAAATCAGCCTGTGCAAATGAGACCTTGTCTCTACAAAAAAATTAATAAATTAACTGGGAGTGGTGGCACGTGCCTGTGGTCCCAGCTACCCCGGGAGGCTGACGCAGAAGGATTGTTTGAGTCCAGGAGGTTGAGGCTGCAGTAAACTATGATTGCATCACTGCTCTCTAGCCTGGGTGACAGAGCGTGACCTGTCTCCAAAAAAAAAAAAAAAAAAAAAAGAATTCCACAGTTCACAACACACCGTGACCTGTGATGTGTGTGTGTCACAGCGGCATCTCTGATCTGGGATAACATTTAGGGGCACAAGGACTCAGACTTAAATACCCTAGTTCCTAAGTGAGGTGGTTCTTTTCTTCTGTCACCTTTTTTTTTTTTTGAGACAGGGTCTCACTCTGCAGTCCAGGCTGGAGTGCAATGGCATGATCTCAGCTCACTGCAACCTCTGCCTCCTGGGTGCCAGCAATTCTCCTGCCTAAGCCTCCCGAGTAGCTTGGACCACAGGTGCCTGCCAACACATCTGGTTAACTTTTGCATTTTTAGTAGAGATGGGATTGTACCACGTTGGCCAGGCTGGTCTTGAACCTCTGACCTCAAATGATCTGCCCACCTCAACTTCCCAAAATGCTGGGATTACAGGCATGAGCCACCTCGCCCAGCCTGTCAGCTCTTCTGATCCTATCACTGAGAAAATCTTGGCTAGGTGGCAACAGGCCTCCCTATTAACAGGGAGTGGGCAAGTCTGGGTCTGGAGCCTGTGGCAGGTGCTAGGACCTGGCTAAAATTTAGTGATACGGATTTGCTTCTACTGCATGTTTTTATGTTCTCTTGAATTTCTGGCAAGGGCAATGGGTTGAATGGTGACCCCTCTAAAAAGATGTCCCTGTCCTAAACCTGGTCCCTGTGAATGTGACCTTCTTTGGAAACAGGGTCTCTGCAGAGGAAATGAAGGCTCTTGAGATACGATCACCATTGATCAGGGTGGGCCCTAAATGACTGCTGTCCTTACAAGAGAAAAGAGAGGGGGATTTGACACAGACATGGGGAAGAAAGTGCTGTGGGGACAGAGGAAGGGACTGGAGTGACTCACTCATGGGATGAGGAACACCAAGCGCCACTGCACTACAACCTGGTGCATGGCGACAGAGCAAGACTCTGTCTCAAAAAAAAAAAAAAAAAAAAGCAAGGAAGCGACAGTGGAGGTGACAGGCAGACATGTGTTCAAGGGGTACCTGCTGCCCTCCGGAAGTCAGACTGAGCCAGGCAGTGTCATGGCCGCAGGGGCAGGCAGAGCAGGCTAGGCCCCAGCACAGGGGCATGGCCTGGAAGCCCAGGTGGCTGGTCTCTAAGTGGGGTGGGTAGACCCAGGGCTAGAGCACGGCCAGGAGCTCTGGGGCCTGTAGAAGGCAGGGGAGCTTCATGCTGCCCATCGGCAGCCTTGAGTGAATTGCCAGGAAGCCCCTTCTGTGCCCAGCCCCATGAGTGATTATTCAGAACCAACTTTCCTTTGGAGAACAGCATTTTAGACGTTAAGGGTTTTTTCCCACTGCCATGAAGTGGCACAGAGCAGCAGGACAGGAGGGGAAGGGGGTTTCCAGCAGCTGGCTGGCCAGCAGTCGGTCTTCCCCTAGAGGTCACCTGCAGGCAGGACGCTGCCACCTGCCCTCGCTGGCCCCTCCCTCTGGCTGGAGTCAGGACGTTCTGGGCCTGGTGGGCATATCCACTGGACCCTGCCAGGCCTTGAGTCATGGCTACCGAGGGGAGGGGAAAACAGACAGCAGCCGGTCACACAGGTCACTTTCAACCGCAGCGCAGGGGACACAGACATGCTCTGGGGACACCAGAGACTTGGCCCTGGCCTCTCATCCAGCCCCAGGCAACCCCTGGGTTTGAATATGGGCTGGGAATGCAAGAAGGGAGGAGCTTTCACCCATCAGGTCTCCGACACGTAAATGCCCAGGTGCCCATGAGGCCTGAGACCGGGTGAGACTGGGGCATGGGAGGGCAGCACCTTCCTCCTTCTCTTGGCAGAGCCGCAACCCTTGGGATGCGGTGGGGGGAGGGGTTCCATGTTCATTCTTTCCCTACTCGGTTTTGCTCTCAAGACCCAGAAGTTCCCGGTCATTTCTGGGTACGGTTTATGCCGGATCGTCCGACTTTGAGAACCTGTGATCCCGTTTCCAGGGATTTCTGGGTTTCACGCAGGTGCGTCGGAGTTTCCGAGTCACGCCCAGCCCAGCACTTCACCTGCCTCTGTCCTTGGTGGGGCGTCTTCCTGCTTCCCTCGGCCCGGCCTGGCAACAATGTGGCTGCTCGCTACGCTTGTCCTGCGAGGGAGGGCTTGGCTGTCCCACTCCACAGATGCAGAGCCTGAGGCTTGGATGGACAGCCACCTACCCAACAGGGAAGAGATGCAGAATGTGGACCACATCCGGCAGGGGTGGGGAGGGGACACTCCTGATGGGGCCGACTGCCCCTGAGCAGTTATTCTCAGTTCTCCAGTTAGTATGAGCCTCGAGCCCTGACAACCTGTTAGGAACCTGGGGATGGGAGGGAATCTAGCTTCAGGAGGAAGGAGAGGGAGGGGCTCCAGCCACCACACCCCCGGCAAGCAGCTGTGCCCGGATGAGGGGTCACCGGCTGGGAACCTTTCCCTGTGTCAGGCCACTGCCTCCTGCCACAGCCCCCAGGAGCAGCACACTACATTCTTGGTAACTTTGTTTCTTTTATTGCCAAGTTTGAATTTACAAGGAAGTTCCAGTTTTAATTTCCACCCCTGTGTTCTGTACCCACGAAACATGAGTCACGCTGGCGAAAGCAGGTACTTCCCTAGAGCCGTCCCGAGGTTCAGAGGCATCGAGGTTTTCCAACCATTGCTCCTCGCTGGGACAAAAATTATTTACATATTTTGAGCTCAAGGAAACGTAAGGAATTCGTACAGTGTATGCCCAATGTCAAGATGACTACATTAAATGTTTCAGATTTACTTTGTCTAGACAAGAAGATCAAAATCAGTTTACCCCATGCCTTTTTCAAAAACTGGGCATCTCAGAGGCCTTAGAGGAATCTAGCACGCATCTGGCAGGGCTGCGTTTCTTGACCTGCTCTTTGGGTTGCTTGTGAACTCACGTGTCTGAGTGGTGGGAGGCTGCTGAGGCTCTGGGAGAAGAACCAGGCTGGGAAGGTAGCTGCTCATGGGGGCCCCTCCTCCCAACTCCATGCCACAGCGGAGGCTGGCCCTTCCTGCCCGGGGGAGTGCCTGAGCTGGCCTCATCTGACCTGCTGGGACAGGCACTTCCAATGTCCAGAAAGGGACGAGCACATCTCCATAGCAACTTTCAAAGCCAAGGTTTGGGAGTTCCTGGAGCCAGCCGTGCTCCCTGACTTGGCAAACGTAGCTGGATGGTGCATGGGGGAAGGGTGGACCAGGGCCTGATGGGTCTGTCGGGGCTGACCTCAGACATCTGAGGCTATGACCTGAGTGTCAGAAGCCCCAGCCCCCGCTGTGGGCCCTCCCAGACTCTTGGCTCTTCCCCTGGCTGCCGGGTGCCAGGGATCCAGCATGTCCTGTCTGGACTGGCCTGTCTGGGAGCGCCCCAGCGATTACGTTTGCAGGAAGCTCCTGAAGACACAGCTGTGTCCACTGCCACTGAGACCTGCGTGAGGTGGGCAAAACGGCTGGTGGGCTCCAGTGGGCTCCCAGACCTCCTACATAAGCAAAGCTTCTGGGAGCCCTGGTTATCGGAAATCCCCACCCTACAGACCTGGAGGTCTCTCCCCCAGAGGCAAGTCATCATCTACAGCTGAAAGAGGCCCGGAGAGTGACCCTTCGAGCCCTCACAGGGGACTGTCCTGTCCTTGGCCAGGGACGCAGGGTAGAAGCCCTGTCCCAAGCAGTGTCTTATTTTCCCCTGGTCCTCCTGGGCATGCTGTCCGGCCCTGGCCAAGACCTCTCCCTTCCGGTACTCAGTGGTCACCAGCTGACGGCAGGCTGGTGGCCCACCGATGTGGCGTGGAGTGAGGTGCAGGCTGTTCCTTCTGGTCACGCCTTGGGTGGGGCAGCCACTTGCCTTCTCTAGTTTCTCCTGCCCCAAAGACGGAGTCATTTCAAAACCAGAAGTGTGCGTCTCGGGGGCTGGCCAACTCCAGCCAGGGCCAACCCGATCCTCCCCACCCCTCTTGCTCTTACAAAAATCAAGTAACAGACAGGCAGCCTGCAGGGCATGGGGTGCCCCGTCTCCTGATACTGTGGTCCTTCTCCCCATGATGGTCTTCCCCTATCCTGGTCTGTCTTCCTTCTCTTTGCAGGACTCTGTAGATGGCCATGGTGGTCGCGGCTTGTCTTTCCTTGAGGTTTCTGCCCAGGGGCCCTTTCTTAGCGACGTCTTTTCTCTATTGAAGCAAAGGTCCTTGTGCCTGCAGCCGTGAAAGCTGGGTGGACACAGCTACCCGGAGGGCTTCTGATGACTGAGACCTGTCCCCATGGGTGCCACTCCCCCTCCTCAGCAGGACTGTGTTTCCTTCAGGAGGTTGAAAACTGCCCTTGGCAGGCCTTGCTAGGACAGCTGGCTTGGCCGAGGACAGGGACTGTGTTCCTCTAAAAGGCAGGTGGCAAGATCTCAGTGCGTCTCCCGAGGCTACGCCACGGCCAGGCTCCGGCAGACATCTAACATTCCTGCGTATGGCACATCTGCAGGTCTGGAGGAAAGCCGCAGAAGGTCTCATCCGTGATCAGAGAGGTGAGGGGCTGCTGGCCTTGGAAGATCTGGGGAGGGTGAACCGCGGCCCGGGCTGTGAGTGCTGTGTCGTGCTCCCAAGCTGGCTGAGTAGAAAGGAACATCTTGCGTGCTGGGTCTGATGCATCCAGGTCCTTGCCTGCGTACACCCAGCCAGAATTGGGGAGGAAACCATGGGGTTTTAATTTTCAGACCAGGAGGAGTAGCAGAGAGGGAGAGTGACAGACTCAGAGCTCTGGGGACACCATGCCCTTGCAGCTGGGGCGGGAACTGGCTCTGGGCCATCTCTCGGCGCACATGGGCAGACGCAATTTGAGTGGCAGGTGATGCTGAGGGCGGCTTGTTTTGATTTTCATCATTGCCACAGGGTCCGGAGTCCTCACGGTCCCAAGCGGTCCTTTCTTAGAGGTGGCAACACTGAAGAAGATGCTGGAAGCCGTCTCTGTTTGGTTTTGGTGAAGAGAAATGAGGAAGCATCCTGAGTGGGGAGCTGGCTACATTCTCCCCTTTCCTGGAGAAATCTTTCCACAATGGGAGGCCTCTTGGCTGCTACGGCAGGAAAGCTCTCAGCCCTCTCAGCTCTGTGTGTACCTGAGAATATGTGTATCTCCCTTGTTTTTGTTTAAAAAATAATCTAAACATTCCAGGAAGGTACTTTATCATTCCACAGGCTTGCAGAGTTAGTGAGTAACAAAGAAATAAGAATCACTTAAATAAATAGAAACAGCCACACTAAGAACTTTAAAACAAAACATCGGGAAAGGTCCAGTGTAAATGATAATGAAATTTTCACTGTATTCTTACACTTTTAACAGGACATCAAATCTTACTGTTGATGTTTTTGGACTTTTTTTTTTTAAATAGAAGTTTTAAAAATAAACGTTCACCTGCTGCCAAAAGCGGAAATAAATATCCAAAGGAGAAGTTTATCTAAGTCTGCTTTGCCACAAATTTCTACCTACAGTGACTTGGTCCAGTTCTTCTGCGCACACTGGGGCTGGTGACAGAGAAGCCACGTGGAGGAAGGAAGAGGGGCCGGTGGCTCCTGCCACCTGGGGCTCAGAGACACGGAGCCCAGGCAGCTCCCTGAGGTGGCCGGTGCAGTCATCTCCATTCGTCGGGATGTCTCCACGGGTCCCAGCCTGCACGTGAAGAGACACAAAGTGAAAAAGAAATGGAAGGGCAACATGGCCTTCTTCCCATTCAAGGGAGTGCAGGGATAGGTGGCTGAGACGGCTGCTGGGGGCTGCAGAGAACTGTGGGTGCTTCCAGTGTGTCTCGCCAGTCAGCGGCACTGGGGGTCCCTACCAGCGGGGCCACACACACAAAGGGAGGTCCTGGCGCTGACTCAGTCCTCGGTGGGGCCCACAGGCTCGGCACATGCAGCCTCTTCGCCCAGGGGGTCCGTGCAGGTGGCAGCCGGTGTAGGCAGCGGGGGAATGCCGGTGAGGCTGCGGAGGCTGTGGGGGTCGACGGGGGGGACGAGGGTCAGAGACTCGACGCTCAGCGTGTCGGCCGTGTCCTCGCAGAGCAGGGAGATGGTGGGCTGCTGGGCAGGGACGAGGCTCGGGGACAGGCTGGCTGTCTCCACGGCTGCGCTCCTGGCCACGTTCTTGCTGGGCCTGGAGTCTACTTCCGTTTCGCTGGCGATCACCAACTGATCAGGAAGGTGAGGTTGAGGCAGTTCTGGAGTCGTGGGGGCATCTGGATCGGGGGAGAAAAACCGAAAACACACTGAGCTCTTGAGACACCCCTCATGCTATGCCCTCTGCTCCTGTCCTGAACTGTGGCCCTGGAGAGCTGGGTGGGAGGTGGCTGGCTGGCGTGAGGGCTCAGCATGGCTCCTCCCACTCCTTCTGGGGACACAGAACCTGCGAAACCCAGTCTGACCTAGGCCTGGGGTGCGACAGGGCCCAGGGTTATCCTGACTTGTGATATGAGGGGAAAATTCAGGGCCTATGCAAAATCAGCACGTGGATCAAAAAACAGTTCCCAGGTGCAGGGACCGGGCTGACAGGCTTTATGTGCGGGCAAATCTCAGACCTGTCTGATAAGAAATACTTGTTTAGAAAGTAAATGGGCTTGGGTGTGCTTGTATCGTCAGGCCATTTCCAGAGCATACATTTGATGACATTTACCCAAGAGGGAACCCACTGCAATATTGGAAAAAAAAAAAAAAAAAAAAAAAAAAAGGAAATTCTGTAGAACTTTTCAGTTTGCAAAACCAAAACAAAACCTTGGCCTGTCTTCTCCTCCTCCTCCTCAAAGTGCTGAGCTAGCACCCAAAAAGGGGCTGCTGTGGTTACTCAGGCCATTACTGTCCCAAACTTCCTGAAGGGGGCCACTGAGAAACCACACCAGGACGAAGGCAGTTATTCTTGCAGCAGCAATTTTTTTCTCGGTGCTTTTTTTTTTTTTGAGGAAGAGTCTCACTCTGTTACCCAGGCTGGAGTGCAGTGGCATGATCTTGGCTCACTGCAACCTCCACCTCCCGGGGTCAAGTGATTCTCATGCCTCAGCCCCCAGGGTCAAGTGATTCTCATGCCTCAGCCTCCGAGTAGCTGGGATTATAGGCGCATGCCACCATACCCGGCTAATTTTTGTATTTTTAGTAGAGACGGAGATTTGCAACATTGGCCAGGCTGGTCTCAAACTCCCGACCTCAAGAGAGTCGCCCACCTCGGCCTCCCAAAGTGCTGGGATTATAGGCGTGAGCCACTGGGCCCGGCCCTTGGTGCTTTTCAAAATCCTACAGACACATGCTGGCTCATTTGCCTTCCAGTGATGAGTCTGCCTGGACAGAAACACCAGATACAGCTGAAATTCACTGTGGAAAACACCTTCCAGCACTTCAGATGGCAGGTGTTTAAAAACACTGAGAGGAAGACAGTGGGCGTCCCGCTTGGAGAGCAAATTCTCATTTGCACAGAGCTGGGGGTCACCGGCCATGGCAAGAGGTGCCGCCCACGCTCTATGGAGCTAAGAGTCTGACAGCACCCTGGGGCTTGGGAAGGATGGCAGACTTTTTTGTTGTTGTTGTTCAATGTGATTTCAGTTTAGTTTTTAATTTTCTCTTTTAAGTCAGGCCAAAATAAAACAGAACAGCAAACGGAACATAAAGCAAAAGAATGGAAAAACGAACGAAATAAAAGCAGGCAGTGCGCAGAAAGCGAAGAAGGGGAGGAAAAGAGCCCCCATCATGGAGCGACAGCACAAGAGACAGACTGGATCTGAAAGCCACACCAGCATTTCTTCCCACAAGACTCTGGGCAAGATGAACTCTAAAAGGTCCCAATTCATCTCATTTCTTTTGTTTTTTTCAGACAGGGTCTCACTCTGTCACCCAGACTGGAGTGTAGTGGCATGATCATAGCTCACTGCAGCCTCAACCTGCTGGGCTCAAGTGATCCTCTTGCCTCAGCCTCCTGAGTAGCTGGGACTACAGGCCTGTACCACCACACCTGGCTAATTTTTAAATTTTTTTGTAGAGGGAGGGTCTCATTATGTTGCCCAGGCTGATATGGAACTCCTGGGCATAAGCAATCCTTCTGCCTTGGCCTCTCAAAGTGCTGGGTTGTGCACAGGTGTGAGCCACCTTGCCCAGCCCAATTAATGTATTTCTAAGACCTTTTTAAAAAAGAGAGAAGATTCAGAGGAAACACTGCATGAGGCTTTGGGTCTGCCCTCACTCTGGGAGGGTGGCAATGGGGATCAGTAAGCACTAGTGGAAAAAGTGATTTGAGGTGTGATCTAAGCCCAGAAATGCTGAGTAAACTACGTGTGAATTCTGGTTTCTTTGAATTTCAACTAATTTGCTCCACTCAGTAAGGATGCCTCGTGCTGCTGGGCTGGTTTCAGCTGAGGCGTGTGCCCTGACCTAGCACGATCTGCCTGCTGTTTCTTAGAACCTGTGGTTCTCTGAGCAGGGCTTACCTGCTCTAGTGGCCTCTGCCCTTGCTTCAAATGGGCATGAGCGGATCTATGACGAACTCTCACACATGTGGATCCACACATAAGTTTCACTGCGGAGGAGGCGGTTTAGAAATGACTAATTCCGCAAATGGCACTGCCCTACCATCTGGAGACAGGGTGGCCAAGTGTTTCCCTCATGTTGTCTTAACATTTCTATCAAGTGTTTTCCCTCTTTGCTCAAGTGTGCATTTGCATGCAGATATTCAAAAAAGCTGGCAAACTTCTTTCCCTGCTCCTTAATGGGGTATTTGGTGATTAGAATAATCAGGAATGTGGAAACATTTCAGGCAAATATATCAAAAAGAGCAAACCAACTAACAATAGCATGTGCACAGAGCTGATTTCTTCTTCAGGAAAAAGACCAACAATTTTTATTAAAGGGGTTGGTTTTTCCCCTAAAAGTAACCTCTTTTTAATTGGAAAAAAAGAACCTCTTCTTACCAATCACCTACGACATGGCCTTGTTGTTTAACTAAGAAGTGCTTCCTGAACTTGATCTACAAATGTATCCAACCAAGGGAGGTGAAAAAGGAGAACTCTGCCAGGTTTTCACCGAGGGGAAACATGTTTTTTTCCCAAGTGAGAACATGTTTTTTTCTGGTCAAGTGTTGAGCTGCAGAAGTGACTGGTGAAGCCTTGCTTTGTGCCTGCTGGTGCTTTTGGACTACAGAGGCACACGTTGAGGCCAGGCCCAGGAAATGAGGGGTTTGGAGAAAAGTCTGACTTCCTGGCCATGGCTGAGGAGGCAGAGCCGAGGGGGGAATGGGATGTTCAGGAAGGCCACATTTCCACAAGCAGTGGACAGACTTCCCAGGGCCGTGGCCTGTGAGAATGCCAAGGCAGCAGGTCTCCCATGTGCCTAGCCGGCACCTCAGAAGCTCATCTGCAGGTCTGGGGCGGGGCCTCAACACATCCTGGTCAAGCAAATGGTGATTTCCAGCAAAGGGCTGGGAAAGGTGGGGCTGAGTGTTGTGAGGAAGAAAAGGTTGGTACTTGTAGAACAAGCGGAGGGCAAAGCTCACAGAGAATAAGCTTTCAACACAAAAGAAGGCAGAAGGTTCCCAGCGAACAAGTGCATCAGAAGCCAGAGAAGCATCACGGCAGGGAGGAAGCAGAGGGGGCCCAAAAGCGAGCCAGGCTGCTGGGTGGTGGCCCACGGACAAGCCTCACCGCTGTGTGGGCGCTACTCAGAAAGGGAGACGGTGGGGTGACATCCATCTGTGCATCTATGAGGGAAATGGCTCTTGGCCTCTGGCCGGAATGAGACTGAATTTGTCACTGATCTTTGAGCAAGGCCAGGGGGAGAAGGGAAAAGAAAAAAGAAACAAGGAGACTTCTTGGTTGCGTTTTACAAATTCTCACTTCGCCAGCCAACTGCCGCCCAACCCTCGTGGCCTAAACTGGGGGGACCCCTGGGGGACTTGGCGGGAGCATCTGCTTCTGACCCGGCCGAGTCTGATGCTGGTGCACACTTCATAGGGAAGGGCAGCGTTTCGCGGCTGCACACGCCTGGCTCAGAAGGACCGCCATGAAGGTCAAGGGCAGGGGATCTGGTCTTCAGATGAGGTGAGGCCAGAAAGGGAGCAGGGAGAGCCACCTTTGGGGGAAACTGAGGAAGTGCCGCCTTGGCAAATGGCTCTGTGCTCAGACCCAGCTTGGCCCACCTTGCCAGCACGGACCCTGCCGACTGTGGAAACGCAGCGTGGCGAGTGGACGTCGCGGCCCGAGCGGCTCACAGGGGAGACCTGCCTGAATTGACTGTGCGTGAGGTGCCGTGGCAGCCGCCGTTCGGAGCACTAAACCCAGTGGCCGCCATGACTGTCGGCCTCCGACAGGCTGAACACTCGCCGGCGTCCTTTCCTGCCACTCCTGACTAGAGGGAAAACACAGCGACAGATCATAGAAAGCCTTTTACAATGGACGGCAGAGGCAACATGGAGAGAGGGGACACAGAGCAGTAGCGGACGCTGAGCACTGATGAGGGGCGAGGGTCGTGGCCACCAGTGCGTGGGGCACTGGCCCTCCATGCAGAGAAGACACCCCCTATACCACCCCCAGGATGAGGCAGGGTCGGGATCGCTCAGAACCAAACTGTTCACTCGTGCGGCTGAATCGGGGTAGGGACAGAGAGGTGGGGTCCTGTTAGAAAGGAAAGATGGGTTCATCCACATCTGGTCTTGGTCGGAAGCCATGGGGAAGGAAGAACAGAATCACCTGTCAGTTTTAGACGTGGCCCAGGAGTTAGGACACGAAAACCCTGCATCCCCAGGACAGCGTGAGGAGGGCAGGGTGTGTGGCTGGAGAACTGGCATCCAACCAGCTAAGTGAATCAAGCAGATTTCTGACCCCATGCGCGGAGGTTCCTGGTGTCACACGCTCACGCCAACAGCACAGCACTGGGTCCTGGGAAAGTTCAGATTCTCGAGGCATTCCACGAGCCTCTCCCTCAGCCACCTCCCTGGGCAGCAACCTGGTGACCCATGCCTTTGAAAACCAAGACTGAACCACAGCAGGAAAGCTGAGACCAGTCGCCAGGTGGTCCAGCAGTGCTTCTAATTGGCTGAAACAAAAAACGTCAGGAGCATCTCACTGCGAAGGGAGGAACCACACTCTCAGAGATGAAGACAGGTGAGCGCACAGCTTGAAAGTGACACCATAGAGCACTACACTGTGAAGGTCCTTAGATGCCACTGGACTACACACTGAAAAACGGTGAAAATGGTAAAGTTTGT